AGCGGTTCATTTGTCTGGACTGGCTCACTTCCAAGGGTGTCACAAGGCGAAACCACAATAGCACCTCTGCAAACTGTCTGTCACACAAGACTCCATAAAACAGGAGTTGGGAGTTGCCCGGCTACTCACATCACTCAGCTGCTTGGAATTAATCTGCGCTTGAACCTGAACAGGCGAATCGGTCACTGATGTGAATTTGATCTGATCAGGACGCTTTTTGTACGTATACTAGAGAGAGGAGAAGAAGAAACCCAATGAGTTTTTATTTCCAGTGCTCATCAAGTCTTATGATATCAGGGTTAAATGTATTTGCTATTATTCAGCTCAGTGTGATATTTCAGATCTATTAGAACCACGGATAAGTGTGGCAAAGTGGCAAAGTGGCGACACAATCACTGGCATAGAGGCCATGGAATAAGTTGTTATTTGTGCTGCACAGATGTTAAAGGGCATTGCTACGTATGGTTTCATTAGAGAAATCAGAAAGGTAGCTAAGGATATTCTAGCCACTAGATGTCAGAGGAATCTTTTGAATAACCAAATCAAAAGTCCCGAAGCTAACTGCAAAGTTAGGAGGAACTTCTCAACAGTGCATAAGAATATTCGTTTGTAAATCGAAGGTGGTGTTCAGATTCAAACCCCTGCCTGGATGGTGTGAGGCACACATCCGCATAGATGCTTGCCTGCAGCTGCCCTTCCTTGTCCCTTTGATCTGGAGCAGAGGAGGGGAGGAGCGTAAATGGGAGCCCTGAATGCCACACACATCATGCTTGGAATGAACACAACACACTTTGGAAGCAAAAGGAATTGTTGCCCCGCCTCTGTGTAGGTTCCCTGAACTTCCTTGGTGGTCTCCCATCCAAGTACTAACCAGGGCTGACCCTGCACAAGAAGCCTCCTGGATGAACAGCCACCAGAAGAAGGCTTTTGGCATCCAAGAAAGGCTCTGCACTGAGCCAAGCAGAGTGATAGGATCCAACCCATATTTTTTAAATATTTCATTACATTTTAGCTCTGTTGTTCAGTCTTACCTATTTATTTTAGATGATATGGCAGAAATACATAATACATGAAAATGATACAGCACTGATAGACTGAGTCCATTAACTCTCTGAAGGATCAAATAGCACAAAAGGGGGGAAAAACAGCTCAAAGCAGCAACTGCTGTCTTCATACGTACGTCTTTGCACTGGTCTAACTTCTTCATAGCTTCATATTCTTGAGTTATGGTCTGCGGGAAGTAGCATTTTGCCTTATCTTCTTCGTAGTCTGCCTTGTAGTTTTTCTAAGGAAGTGACAAGAAATCAATAACCATTATGAGCTCCCCATGAACAAGCTGAGCCACTTTAGTAAACAGGAAGGCATTCATATTTACATCACTCTTCATGGCTTCGACTTTCATACAGTGGGCTTGATAGGGGTCCCCATAGCTGCCAATGTATCGGCCCAAGATATTGTTCTGATACGCCTCCTTATATCTAACCTGTAAAAAGAGATGTCATATGTTACTAACAGGCCAGCAAATGGGAAATCTTGCCTGAGCCACAACATATGGGCCATCACTAAAATACTCACATCGCCAAAGTTTTTCAAAACACTGTCAATTTGATACTTTGGAGTGTCACAGTAGTTAATGCTTGTTCCTTTTGCTTTTTCATATGCTTCTTTGTATAATCTCTGCCAGGAAAGGGGGAAAAAGCAACTCCATTATATTTAGAAGGGTTTATCTAAGATCATTGCTCCCTCAACTGGCCCTTGGTATATAAAGACTTTGCTCCTTTGAAATATTACAATCAGACATTAAGATAAACTGAAAAAGAATGTAAAATGCTTCCCCGATACTTTGTAGTCTTGATTGTTTAAAATGTATGAACCCCTACACAAAGGAGTCCCTTTTTGAGCCTGAGGGCACCTTGGGATTTTTGAGAGGGGGTAGTGAGCACCTCTCCAAAATGGCTTCCACAGGAGGCGAATCCAAAACCAAAATAGTTTGCACAAGAGACAGAGTGAAACAAAAAATGGCTGCCTCGGGAGGAAAAGTCAAACACAATACTTACCATCTTGATTTACAGAAGAATAACAGCAGGGGAATAAAGAGGGGGAAAATAAAAAGAAACAAAGGAAAGCCCAGCGGGAGGAAGGAAGAAGGAGAAGAAGGGGGGGAAAGAACAAAATCCTGGAGGGGAAATGGAACCACAAGCCAAGATGCTTACCAGTCTTCATGATCCTCCAGTGCTGTGAATGCTATGGAGGACCCTTTCATTTGCATGAGGGCAGCCAATAACAAGCCCTGCCTTACAATGGCCACACTCACTTTCTGAAAAGCTTGGTGGGCACCAGGAGAAGTACTAGTGGGCACTATGGTGCACATGGGCACCTATTCCAGCTACATTCTTCCAGGCATCTACTTCCTCCCCTGTGTTCTTTCATTTCATAACCCACCCTGAGCCACTGAAGGCTCAGTATGGTTAGTTGCTGCTAGGGATGGGCACAAACCAGGAAAATGCAATTCAGTTCATGGTTCGGGGCATGCCCTGTTAACAAACCATGGACCATCATGAACTTTTAGCCACCTCATGAACTGTTTTGCTTTGTAAGGTTTGTGAAACAGTAGAACAGCCCCCCAATGTGCTAGAGTCACTCCAAGTTTGGTGAGAATTGGACTTATGAGGTCCAAGTTACAGCTTCCCAAAGAAGGTGTCCTCAGGAAAGTGCTTTCTGGGGAAATGACCGCCTGTCATTTTGTTTACAAAGCTTCAAAGCAACAACCTGGAGGGCATGTAGAGGAAGATCCAGGGGAGGCCCCCTGAGACTTTGATGTCTCTAGCTTGCACAGGATACATTCTATACACTCCTAAACCTCCTGAACCTGCACATGTCAAAATGACCACCTGTGTCAAAGTCTCAGGGGAACTCCCCTGGATGCTCCTCTATATGCCCTCCAAGTTGCTGCTCTGAAGTTTTGTAAACATTTGGATTGAGCTCAGACAGTCTGTCTGGAAATGTATCCACTAAGGAACTGCCACGAACCTCCACAAACAGCTTGAAAGTTCATGGAAAGTTTGTGCTAGTTGACCGGCCACAAACTTGACTTCATGAAGTACAAACTGACCAAAATTCATCACAAACTTTAGTTCATGAGCTAGTTTGTGCCCATCCCTAGTTGCTGCATGGTGGGTATTTGTGAGCTGAATGCTTGCATGAAAGCGATGGAACAGAGGAAACTCTGCAAGTCCATCTGTGAGCCTTACTCCAACTACAGCATTGGTAAGAGCTGTTCATAGTATCTGGCCAAAACCCTCCATGGAGAATACTTACATCATTCACAAGATTTCCAGCAGCTTTTAGATGCCTGAGCAGTGGGTTCTCTGTAGCTGGAAGTACATTATAATCAGTAGACGCTTTGGATTTTTCATAATCTTCTTTGTATTTCACCTATAGAAACAAAAGGTCATTTTTTAAAAAAGCACATTTCCAAACTTGTGCACTTTAATTGCCTCAGCTGTCTGGTAGGTCTTTATGGTAGCGCTTATCTTCCAAACTGAATTCCGATTTTTAAAAATCCCAGAGATTGTTTATATTCTAATTTAATTAAAGCACGTCTGAAGCACTTGGGAGTTTCCATCTCTTCAGTCAGGGAAAAAAAATGCAACTGCAACATTTAGGGAATCTAATGCCACTTCTGGATAACGGTTAGCAATTTTTTGCCTGATAGAAGCAGCTGCTTGTGATCATTTCATGTGGTATAAGGAAATAATGTTTGTTGTACCAGTGAACAGTAAAACAATGTGGTGCCAATTTTAAAATTTAAAAACAAAACAAAACTTTTGACATTGTATTACCTCTTCTGCTGCAATTATACTATTGCATCTGAGAAATACACTGATTGTGAGAGAACTTCACATATCTGTACTGCATACAACTTCAGTAATGCTCAGCAACACTTCCTGATGCTCAGCAACACAATTCAAGGGGGACATCGCAATAGATAAGAACATAAGACAAACTCTGCTGGATCAGAGCCGTTAGCCATCTAGTCCAGCATCCTGTTTCACACTGTGGCAAATCAGATGCCCTGGAGGAGCGACAACCAGGGAGTAGAAACCAAAGTCATCCCCTTGTGTTGACTCCTAGCACTGATATTTAGAAGTTTGTTGCCTCTGAATTTAGAGGTTCCCTTTCATCATTATGGTTAGCAGTCACCAATGCACCTGTTCTCCATGGATCTATCTAATCATATTTCCTCATGGCCCTTACTATGTCCTGTGGTACTTAATCCCATTGTTAAGTAAAGAAGTACCCATTGCCCATTACCCAAAGTAGCATTTCAGTCTAGGCTAATGTGCTTCTCTCTGCACACTTTGACAGCACACACCATCAGAATACTCTTTCACATATTTCTAGAACCACCAGAACACTCTATAGCATATTCTGTGGCATATTGCCAGATTCAACTTCTCCCACTTGAACTCAGCTGAAAAAAGACATTAATATCATTTCAGGAGCAGGAATGACAGGATACATCTATTGCAATATTAGAGTTGCCAGGTCCACCCTAGCCACTAGCAGTGGATGGGGAGTAGGGTTGGGAAACTCCTGGAGCTTGTGGGTGGAGCTTAGGGAAGACAGAGACCTCACTGGGGTACCATGCCATAGAGTTCACCCTCCAAAGTATCCATTTCCTCCAAAAGAACTGATCTCTGTAGTCAGGAGATAAGCTGTAATTATAGGGGATCCCCAGGTCCCACCTGGAGGTTGGCATCCCTAGGAAGTTCTTAATGCTTTCCAGCCCGGGTACTATCTAAATAGACTGCTAGCATTCTCAGCATACCTTACTTGCAGTTATCCCAGCTCGTTTATTAACTGCATATTCTGGGGTTTCTGTTTGCATAAAGTAGATTTGGTCTTTCTTATTCTCCCAGTCTTCCTGGTATTTCCTCTGTAAACAACAAAAATAAAACCAATATAACTTAACCAGAAAGAAAACAAATGCGGACTGAAAATTGGGGGGGGGGGGAGAAATGATCATCAAAGCACAGATTGGGTATCCATTTGGTTCATTTACCATGCTCAAGTTGTCAGCGTTCATTTTAGCAACTGCAACTTCATAGCAAGGAGTCTGACTCCACTTGCCTTTCTTCTTCTCATAGTCTTCATGATATTTACGCTATAACAAAAAGAAAATAAAGAGGGAGATTCAGATAACCAGTTAAAGTATGAGGCCAAAGTTTGGGTCCCATTGAAGATCTCAGCTAGCAAAATCTTCCAATAAAATAGGGCTTCCCCCCTCTCTCTGGAGCCCTAAATCCCCCAGAAATTCTGCTCCTGGTGGACAGGAGTCTCCTCCCAGAACAGCATGAGGGGCTCACAAGCAGGAGAGGAGAATTGGTGAAATCGCCTCCCTTCCAAGGGTGGAAATTTTTCTCAGGTTCCAAGCCAAAATTTGGTACTATGAATACATCCTCTTGATAGAGCTACTATCAAATTGCTGAATTGCTTTCACAATCTCTTCCCTTCAATTTTCTTGAATGTTTGAGTAAAGTTTAATTGTTTCACAAGTTCTTTAATTCTCAATATGAGTAGGAGGTGGGAAGCATGCATTTTGAAGACATTATATTCCATCACAATTCTTATGCTAAAATGGGATTCACATTCTAAATTTCCTGTTGTTAAATTTGAGGTAAACATTCACAACAAAGATTTGTTATTAGCTGCGTGACAGGCTAATAACATAGTATCCATCAGGAATAAATGACCTCAAAGACATTTGAGAGCTCTAGACCAATCAGGATGCTGACGCGTAGACCAGAAAGATAAAAGGGGGATTTAAAAAGCCCTCTGTCATTCAAACGTATTTTTGTTCTGTAGCCCTATTGCCACTGGCCATCGGATAATTCCCTAACTTTTTGGACCTTTGACTAGTTAATCTCTTCCCTCTCTGTATATCAATTGCCTGTCTTGGACAGGGAAATTGAGGGAAGTAATGAAACCAGGTGACCTACATTAAAGACTTTGCACTAAGGACGTTGATAAATGTGTCTCTTCCTGGACAATTAGGTGTAAATCAGAGGGTCACACACCATTCCTTTTCAATCACAGTTAACTTCAGTTCTGAGTATAAATTTAATAATTACTGAACTACAAATGACTTGGATGTATTAATGCAGCATAACATCGGGCTCCCTAGATGTCATTCCTCTTCTTTCGCTCCTTGGCAGTAGGTTACTCTAATTATGCCCAAATATCAACTTCATTAGTCATGCTTCATGGTTACGGAATTCAGCAGTTGGTGCCATTAGTTCAGTTCAGATACAGCCTTTCTGTTTGCCATGTCACTGAGGGTGCCGAGCGCATGGAAAACATTCTTAGGCATGGAAATGGGAAGGGGGAAGAATTTAAATATAGAGGGAAACCTTTATTCCATTTTTAGCTCAATTACGTTTTAGGTTTGTAGGAGAATGACTGAATTATTGTGTCTTAAACAAGAAATTTGCTAACTGAATGTGCATGTACACGCTACAGGCTGCATGAGGGATACCTTGATTGCCCCTAACTTACACAGTATAACCTAGGACTGCCATCTGTTTAAAGAAAGCTTATCTCATTAATTCGGTCTGGTTTAAGCAATTAATCAGTTAATTAACTCCATCTGTATAAATTTGCACACAGATAAAAAACATTTCTTTTTTTAAAAAAAATCCTATTTTTAGAATATGCTTATAGCCACGGCTTTCGTGTCTGTGGGAGAAAGGAGGAGTGCCCCTTTTCCAAGGTGTCTCATGCCCTTTCCTGTTCTTGCATTAAAGAGAATTTAACTAGGGGCATCTCTTGACTTGATCAGATGCTTTAAAAATTACTTAATCTAACCTGTGTATCAGCTGAACTTTGCAGTCCTAATATCAATAGAATGACAAAATAAGAAAAAAAGGACAAAAAGAAATAAGCAACAGAGGGACAGATACGACCCACTGGGGAGTTATCATTAACAAAGGCTGGATACACATTTCAAATAAAATGTACAATAAGCCTTGGGTTGGACCAGCAATTTGCAACAATTCCCCGTTCCCAATGCAGACCCACCCCCACGTCTTTCCTCAGGGCCTTCCTCTCCCCCAGGAACAGCCTTTTGTGGAGAGCAATGGCCTGTGCTGGGAGGAGGAGGATGGCAGGAAAGTTCCATTCCACAGACAGAAAATTTTATCTGGTTCCAACTTTATGTCTGGGGCCCCCCTGGTCCTACTATATCAGACAAAACCGAATGAAACAAACAGCAATAGGGAGGTTCCATGTTTGCATGGATGACAGGAAATACGGGGACAAGGGCAGGGTCAGCATGTCTAACATGGAGGTAAGCATTTCTGCAGAAGAGAGAGCTTGAGACTTTCCCCTCCTTTTATGCACTATAAAGGCACTTGGGTGGTTCTGCTGCTCCCAGTTCTTGGCGGAGGTGTTTATCCAGAACCCATTACAGTGTACTCACATCGCTGAGCTGTCTGGTTACTTTCTTAGCGAGCTCCACATCGGGTGGGTCTGCCAGAGAAGTGTATTTAGCTTTGCGTTCATCATGCCCTTTTTTGTAGACAATCTGAAATGATGGGGAGAGAAAAGAATGGCTTGTTTAAAAAAGGGAAATATTTGGAGTTGCTTTCTCCTAACACCACCGTACACACAGCTAGTGGGAACTGTGTTTAAATAAAACGCAGAGTTGTGTAGCTTTTTTATAGTTCTGCAGTCAAAAATCAGGGATTTGTATGTATTTTGACACTTCCAAGGAAAATCCTATCAGTGCTGAGTGTCTCATTCACTTTTTCATTCCAGATTTCACTTAGCAGACAGCTTTTGAAGAAACTATATGGTTACAGTCCTAAGAAGGTTTCCCCAAGAGTAAGCACCATTGAATAAAAGGGCATGTGTTACTACATGGCAAATTCTACAACGATGCGCGTTCCATTTACCTCACCCCCATTCTCTCTATGTTCCCAGGTAGATCGGATACATTTTACACATCCTTCCTCCTTGCAAATCATTCAAATGAGACCTCCATTAAAGTGGCTAAGTTCTGCACTAAGGTTTTATTCACAAAGAAGTTGGTAACTCAGTCTATCAACACCTAGCAAGTATAAGAAGGCTTTTCAATTTTAATTTTGTGTATATGTTGTGTGTACTAGATGCTGACTCTGTCATGATAATGTTGTTTGATCTCTGGATTGTAAATAAAGTATGTATGTATGTACAAACTAAAAAAGCCTAAGAGACCAATAGCAAGTCTGATCATAATCCTGCTCAGATCTATTCAACAGTGCTTGCTCCAAGGAAAGTGTTCCTAGGAATGCACTGTAACAACCTCAGAACTGTATAGCTTCTTAAGGCCTGGGCTCATTCATTTCAACGGGTCTGGTGCTAGTTAGATCCTACAATGCTTGCTGAAAGGAGGAACAACCCCCTTGCTGATTGCTTCCAAAGTAATAGTTCCCTCTACCTGCCTCACTTCAGTGTCCCCCATGCAGATACACACATGTATCCTACTGCAATTCTTTGACAGCCCAAACAAAAAGAAACCCAGACAAATACAAATTGTGTAGCAGGTGCTGAATACAAACTTTCATTTTAAAGAGAAAGCAAATTATATTATGGTGGAGTACTTTCAGATCAGTATTTGTCAGCAGCCCCACACGTACCCTGCTAGGGTTGCCAGCCTGTCCCTAGTGGAGGCAGGGAATCCTCCGCCACCAGGCCCTGTCCCCTTGCCCATCAGCTGGGAAGGAGGCCCAGGTTACGTCACTGGCAACATGGCAAGTCACTTCCGGCGTGCACCAGAAGTGACATCATTATGTCAGCAATGTCACTGTGACACTCTGGTATTTGGGCAAAAACTCTATGGTAGGGACCATTTTTACCATAGACTTTTTGCCCAAATACCAGAGCATTACTTTGACGGCACAGTGTGATGACATCACTTCCGGTGCATGCCAGAAGAGATGTAGCCACATCACTGGCAATGTTGCCTGGGCCTTCCTCCCACTCCTGGCAACCCTGTACCCTGCTCACCAGTTCAGATTTTCAATAGAAGCCCTGACTGCTCTGTTTGCGTTCACTTTGAGAAGTTATGTGGTGGTGCCCTGAGGACACTCCTTCCTAGGGTTGCCAAATGGGGCCGGGAGGCGGGGAATCCCCCGCTTTGGAGGCCCGATTTCCGATGCGACGGAATCGGGCCCCGGGGGGGACCCTGCCCCCCACAGCCGCGGTTTTTTTTTACGACGTAGGGCACGTTGGGGGCATGGCCCAGATCGTCGGGGGGGAACATATGGTTTTCCCCCGGAGGATCTTGGCCACGCCCCGAACGTGCTACATCGTGCGTCACTTCCGGTGACGTTCCGGCGGCGCGCACACGCACATCCCCAGCCAGCTCCCGGAGCGAGAAGACGCTCCCCCCGCCGGTGAGTAAATTACATTTGGCAACCCTACTCCTTCCCCACAGAGATTTCCCTGTGCTTTGCATGACTGGCTTCAATTGCCAGGTGAAGGCCTTTTAAATTATTCGTGCAAGTTTTGGTTGTTTGTTGTTGTTGTTTTTAATTTCCTTCTTGCTCTAGGACAGCATCAGTGTACCCTGAAGTGCAGCAGTTGCCAGGGCCTGGGGCTTCTGGCAGGGCCCACTGTTGCCACCCCCTTCCCACACACCTGCCCAGTTGTCATCTTGTGTGCCCTTCCCCTGCCCATTCGCTTGTGAGCACTCCACCACTTGCGCTCCTGACTGCATGTCCTGCTGATGCACAGCCAAAAGATCTAGCACCTCTTTTCTTTTACATATGAGGCACAGAAAGCTACAGCATTCACCATAGCAGGAGGCCATGAGATCTCTTTCCTGACGTTAAAGATCAGGAACTGACTGAAGGTCACATGTTTATCCTAAACATTCAGTTCTATAAGTACAAATTAATACACACAAATCCAAAATCCTAATGCACTGTAAAACCAACGAACCAACCAAAAATGCTCCTGTCATATATTTACTTGCTGTGGAAAGTAAAAAATGGGAAACTTTTTCCAGCCATATGACATTGCTGAGGTACTTACATCACTGAGGGCCTTTTGGGCCCGTGCTACTCTCCTCAATTCTGGGCTGTCATCATAAGGATAGAACATTGTTTTATCTGATTCCCAGTCTTCAGTGTATGGTTTCTTAGGACAAAAGGAATACATGTTTAAGTAGAAGGCATAATCTTAGTGATATGAACACTGAATTAATAATAAAATGTAGAAGAAGTTTTTATACCCCGCTTCTCTCCAACTTAAGGAGTCTCAAAGTGGCTTACAATCATTTTTCCCTTCCTCTCCCCACAACAGGTACTTTGTGAGGTAGGTGGGGCTGACAGAGTTCTGAGAGAACTGTGACTGGCCCAAGGTCACCCAGCAGTCTTTATGTGGAGAAGTGGGGAATCAAAAATGGTTCTCCAGATCTGAGTTCACCACTGATAACCACTAAACCACACTGGCTTTCAAGAGTTGCTGTTTGCCCACTGGGGGTGCGAGATTTCCTCTGGCACTCCAGTGGCCAGTGAGAAAAAGAAATAAAGGAGTAAAAATTGCCATCAGTGACAGTCTGACATCACTTCTGGAAAAACCTGAAAGTGACATCACACCTCTCTAGGAGTCATCAGAAACTCTGTGGTTTTACCATAGATTTTCTGGTGATTCCTAGAGAGGTATAACATCACTTCTGTGTTTCCTGATGGCCACCCCTTATGTCCTATGTCCTCACCCCACCTGTCTCCTGCTGGCTTCCAGGCAAGTCCTGGCAAACCTATTCTGGACAGACCCTGGCTTACCTTACTGAACAAGGCTGTGTTTTTTATCGCCTGCACAAACTCTGGAGCATCAGGAGGAAGCAGATACTTTTCTTTATTTTCTTCCCAATTTTGTTTGTATAATACCTAGAGAGATAAACCAACATATTTGATTACATTATCTTTAAGAAGCATAGACATGTCAAGGTCCAGAGGAAATCAGAAAAATTCAGGAAAAAGAGCTTGCAATTTCCCCCCCCCCCCATTTTTCCAACAGAAAAACTGGAAAATTTGGGGGACCACTGGGGGGGGGGAACCTATGAAATATTTTCTCTTTTGGAATGCGTGAAATGCTTTTCCTTTTTTTAAAAAAAAAAGAGTTTCACACTCAAAACATACAGTACAAAGATTTTTATGAAAGGAATCTACTGAGCAAGGGAATCATTCTTGTGTAAGCTATAGAAATATAACTCAGTTCTAAAATGCAGTTCCTGCACCAAGAATATGCTGCCGTCTTCATGAGAAGGGCAGACAGGGTCTTCTTTGCTTGTTGCCTGCTGTCTGGTTTGATGGAGACAGTAGGAGAAAGTACCCTAAATCTGTTCTCCTTTTGATCTGGCCCCTGTGGTTAAGGCTTGTAGCTCTCTCCTCAGAGGACTGTGACACAGACACCAACAGATGGGCAAACATGACTATTGGGTTTTTTTTGGTTTTTGTACAAAACTTTTATTTTTTGGATATAATATCACATTTAACATTGGCTTTCACTTATCCAATACCCATATTTCCCTTTCCCCCCTCCCTTGCTAGTGGCTTCCCGCAGTGCTCGACCCTTTTTCCCTTTACACTACTTATATTTGCTTAAACATTTTAAATTGCTTAGATGTTAAAGATAACATTTCTATCAATATTGTTCTAAATACAATAAATTGTGTTTAACGTCCCAGTTTTCCTCTAGATAGTCTTTAAAATCTTTCCAGTCTTCAAAAAATTCTTTTTTTTTTTGTATAAAGATTTTATTGACTCCCCTAAAAAGGGAAGGAGTTTCGCTTAAAAAGAAAGATAAGGAGGGTATAGAGTGGGAGGAAGAGAAAGCTGAGTGATGTATTAACTGTTAGATTAAACTGTTAGTAATGTCCAATCATCAAAGGCTTCTTCTGCGTGTTGTCAAACATCTTTTTTCCATTCCAGTTAGTTTCTATGTTAATTTGTTAGTAATGTTCCTTTGAATTTCTGTTAAAAAGTCTCTTCAGGGCACATTCAGAACCGCTTCTTTAACGTGCTGGTTACTTTTCCACT